TATTTTAGTATTATTGATCAACAATCTGTCTTTCCATCCTATATTTTAGTATTATTGATCAACAATCTGTCTTTCCATCCTATATTTTAGTATTATTGATCAACAATCTGTCTTTCCATCCTATATTTTAGTATTATTGATCCACAATCTGTCTTTAAATCCTACATTTTACCATTCTTGATCAAAAATCTGTCTTTCCGTCCTACATTTTACCATTCTTGATCAAAAATCTGTCTTTCCGTCCTACATTTTACCATTCTTGATCAAAAATCTGTCTTTCCGTCCTACATCTTAGCATTCTGTTTCAACAATCTGTTGTGAAGTCCTATATATCTTAGCCTCATTGATTGACAAAATGTGTATCAATCTAAAATTTTATCATCCTTAGTCAATCCAATTTGATATTTGGACTGAATTGAAGGGTTCTATAACCCTGCAGAGAACTGATTCATCATTATTATTATCAAAAGACAGATTTAAACCGATTTTAGTCTTTTCATATCTAATTTCGAAACTAACGTTTTCAACAACTTCACAAACTTCAATTCAGGGGAGAACAAGTTTTTAAACTTTTTTTTTGTATTTAGTCATTTTACTCTGTATGAATCTGTAATAAAGTTGTGAAGATATATACAGCCCTGTATGTTGTGTAGAAGGGGTGGTCTGGTAGGGTTGGAAGGATTGTAGAAGGATTATGATGAATTCTGGCAGCTTAATTTGATAAGTATAGATACGTGTCTCTAAAGCTAATCAGCGCCATCTTTTTTTGACCGCCTGCACATGCATTTAATGCATTCATTCATTCATTCATTCATTCATTAATTCTTCCTTCCATCTATCCTTCCTTCCTACATCCTTTGATCTTTTCTTTCATACTCCTTTCCAGACTTTCAACCTTTTTATTTTCCTTGCATACTATCTATACCTTTTTATCCTTGTATCTTTCCTTTCATACTTTAGCTAGGGTAGCTAAAGTATGAAAGTATGAAAGTATGAAAGGGTTTCAACCTTAGGTATTTTCTTTAACCTTTCCCTACATCTTTTCATACATTCACGCAATAAATGCCATGGCAGATCCATAGTAACCAATAACTATTACGTGGTACATTGTCCGTAAATCTAAATGTGCTTATCAGTAAATATACAAACCTTGTATTGCGATTAACCTAAACTAGATACGTCTATAAATAACTACGTCGCACCTGTAATTGATTAGCTTAACTACGTTTTTATATAACATGCAGAACTAATGATTACGTCTATTAAACTTAAACTCTAACCTAGAACCCAAAATACACTCAGTTGGAAAATACTCCGCTTTAAATGAAGTGCAGAGTAATTACTTCTTGGTTTGCGAGAAAAAGCTTTTGAATCTATTTTAATGAAATATATAAGTTTGGAACTGATACAGATAAAGCCGTTTCCAGGATTGATATGAATAGTAAAGTATTGATACAGATAAAGCCGTGTCCAAGATTGATATGGATAGTAAAGAATTGATACAGATAAAGCCGTGTCCAGGATTGATATGGATAGTAAAGTATTGATACAGATAAAGCTGTGTCCAGGATTGATATGGATAGTAAAGTATTGATACAGATAAAGCTGTGTCCAGGATTGATATGGATAATAAAGTATTGATACAGATAAAGCTGTGTCCAGGATTGATATGGATAATAAAGTATTGATACAGATAAAGCCGTGTCCAGGATTGATATGAATAGTAAAGTGTTGATACAGAGAAAGCCGTGTCCAGGATCTTGAAACAAAGATATCGTACGTAGAATAATGCATTAAATGCCTAGATAGATACCATATTACTACACTGAATAGCTCTTATGACTCGTCAACCATAACGAGGGAATGAGCATTGATACAGATAAAGTCGTCTCCGGATTGACAGATTGATAGTAAAGTATTCCTGGAACCGTGAGTTCCTGATTGAGTTGTACCTGGATTGATACGGGCCTGAAGACATATGTGGAGTATGTACATTTACTACATTCATACTTTCATCTTTCTAATCTTTTTAAGCATTACCATTAAAACATTGAAACACTCCCCCCTCCGACCTCCCTCCCCCCACATTCCCCTCAATTAAACTAAGATGCACTAACAAATTATGTCACCAAAAATATAAAACCTCCCCATGAAAATAAAACATATTCTTTATTTCTTGTTTTGTTTTAAATTAGCATTTGACCAGTGGTAGATGGAACCTGTTCTGTGAAAAATATCTCCCACTGTTAAATTTAATTTAAATTCTTTTAGCAAATATTTTACTCATCTTTATTCAATCTTAAGTCCTCTTTAGGTATTTAACTTTTTGTTTTTAATTCTTTTTACCGTTAACAAGTGTTTCTATGTTTGTCGCGTACACTTTTATTTGTAATGTCAGAATCAAAGTATCCATTAGAAAATGTCTACATTATNACCAATGAGAATTTGAGAATCTAGGTTAGAATCAATGAGAACTTGAGAATCTAGGTTAGAACCAATGATAATTTGAGAATCTACGTTAAAACCAATGAGAACTTGAGAATCTAGGTTAGAACCAATGAGAACTTTATAATCTAGGTTAGAACCAATTATAACTTGAGAATCTAGGTTAGTATTAATGAAAACTTAAGAATCTAGGTTAAAACCAATTATAACTTGAGAATCTAGGTCAGAACCAATACAAACTTGAGAATTAAGGTTGGAACCAATGAGAATTTGAGAATCTAGGTTAGAATCAATGAGAACTTGAGAATCTAGGTTAGAACCAATGATAATTTAAGAATCTACGTTAAAACCAATGAGAACTTGAGAATCTAGGTTAGAACCAATGAGAACTTTATAATCTAGGATAGAACCAATGAGAACTTGAGAATCTAGGTTAGTATTAATGAGAACTTAAGAATCTAGGTTAACACCAATTATAACTTGAGAATCTAGGTCAGAACCAATACGAACTTGAGAATTAAGGTTGGAACCAATGAGAATTTGAGAATCTAGGTTAGAACCAATGATAATTTGAGAATCTAGGTTAGAACCAATGAGAACTTGATAATCTAGG